AAACTATGCTCCTTATTCTCTTTAGACGATTTCCAGAATTCTACACCATTCAATGGACCACGGATCATGTTTCCATTTCCATCCTTTGCTTAGTCTTAAAAACTTCTATTCATTCTTTTAAAGAACCAGAATATTAGAAGTTCTGAGTCAAAATGTGGTTTAGAGGTTGTCTTCAACCATCTAATTTTATAGATGTGGTCCTGGGGTTTAATGAAAGTTAGGTGACTTGCTCACCAAAGCCCAGCTGGAACACAGGTCTTCTGCCCTCTGGTCCAGTGCTCTTTCCTACAGCTCTAGGATATCTTCGCTTCCTGGTAGTACCCTTTCCTGCGTAGTTAAATGATTTATTCATCCCTCCTATGGCTCTCTAAGGGACCTTTTCTTTTTCCTGAGAAATTTGTCAGGCTTGGTAGGGGTTATCTCTGATTAAGTTTTGACTCATATATTCCCTGTACTAGTAAGTTGGCAACTTCTGTCCTCTCTGGCTAAATACTCCTTGAGCTGAGATAAAACTTTAAAGGCAGGTGATCCTGTCAACTGAATTGGTCTTTCCTAAATATCCAAGAAGGAAGTACAGTAGATAACTTTCTTTAAAAAGCAATACCAAAAACCTACATGATGACTTGATTAGATGGTAACATTTGTTTTCTCCCAAGGTTAATAAAACAAGATAGGTCTATTTTGATACACATAAGGTGCTTAATGATTTAAGTTCTAATCTTTTAGGATATGTAATTGTGAATCCCCAAGAATGCATCATAAGGAAACTTCAGTATAATAGATTAGAAAAATTTTTACAGAAGAAATAGAAATATAAAAACAATAAAGTCACAAAGCCCAATTACAAAAACTCAATCTCATTTTTGAATTTTCATTTTCCCTCCTTTGCTATACCCAATTATCCATTAACAACAGTTTTTCTGAAAAGTGTCTCCCCAATTTATATTTTCATTTCTATTACATAGGCATCACCTTAGTCAAAGCCTTTATCATCAAGACAAGATTCATTGACTTTCTCAATCCTTTTTCAGCTACCCAGAGCCAGAAAAACCTTGCTTCTGTGCTTGTTTACAGAGCTTTGTCCAACACCTTTAGTGCTTCATGATTGCCTCCAAGATACTATTCTATTCTAATTTTTCTCACATTCAGGCTTCCCAACAATTCAGTTTACATATACTTTTAAAGTATAATTTCATTATATTTTATTGAGCCAGATACTGAGCCAAGTTCTTCAGATTCTCATCGAATCCTCATTGAATCCACATGGCTAGTAAGTGGGAAAGAAGGGATTAGAACCCAGGTCTGTCTAACACAGAAGCCCAGTCTCTTAACCACCCTAATTTCCCAAGTAGACCTTCTCTGCCTCCAGGCAGGCTAGTTTCCTTACAGTCCCAAAGATGTTTTATTTATCCAATTTTATTTACTCCAATCTTATGATGGAAACTTCACCAGGGATACCTTCCCTTGCCCTTAGCTCTTCTAAAGTTCTTACCATTTTCCAGTAATCACTCATTGACTTATAGTTTCAACTAATATTTATCAATGTGTACATCTAACCCATTTTATATGAGGTCTTTCCCAGATACTCTAGATTCTTTTTATCTCCTGCTTCTTTAAATTATCTATTATCTGGAACACTTGCATTTGCTCTGAGTCACATTATTTTACAATGTTATCTCTGTACATTTTTTTCTCTTTCTTGAAGGACAGCAACTGTGCCTGATGGTACTTTATACCATTTTCAGTCTTAATGCAGGCCAAGAAATATAGTAAGCATGCAATGACTACATGTAGACTTGATATCTCGGTGAGTTAACTTAAGGTGCTCTTTTTCAAGAACCTGTTAAAATGAAATACCGTGCTGGACAACAAAAGGAAATTCTTTGACCATGGAACCTAATGGATTTTAAGAAGACCTGGTATGAAGAGTGTTTTAACACAAAACACAATAAATAAAACAAAGCAAAAGGCCTCAAAACTGTCTATTAAATATTGGCAAGGGGGACATAAAAATTACTGATAGTAGCATTTTTATGAATAATGGTGAGCAGTTTGGTTCACTGTATAAACAAAATAATCTAAAATGGCATTTCAGTGAGGTTATAGATAGTTAAATGAAGGGACCACCAGTTAAGTTGTGTAGGTGGGCAAGGAAAGAATACTAAATGATAAAATCAAATAGAAGTTTGCTGTGAATATCAAGGGAAATATGATACTTCCAACCGAACCCTAAGATAAAAATTCTCAGATAATGGTATTTTTTATAACTCAGTTCTAATCTTTAGTGTAGCAAATAAAACATCACATTTAGAAATTCTTGTTACTAAATTTATTACTTGAAACAGCATAACAGCACATTCTAGAAATTAAAAAAATATTTCTATTATAAACAGATATTAAATGGCAACTCTGTTTTGTTTAACTTGATTAAGATTTATTTTACTGTATTTAAATGTGTGTTTAACTCACTAAATATGTCTAGTTAACTTTTATATGCAAATACTTTAAATTTCCCATCAAGTTCCTGAGAGGAAAAATTAGTTTCTTTCTCATGTAAGGCTTCAGGTTCCTTAGTAACAGAGTAGTACGTGAATATACTTAAAATATGTAACTTAAAATGTCTTTTAATTGATCTTGTTTTATCTTCCTTTACTTCTGGCTGAGATTTTGGTTAGGTGGCAGAATAGTACAAACAGGAAAAGGAAACTGAGTGATAAAAATAGGTCTTATAGAAATAGGGATTGCTAGCTAACGGGATCTTGAAAGGAAGCTGCCTGAACACACTATTTAAAGAAGGCTCATAAGTACACGAGCATGTAGCTTTTCTGTTATTCTGTGAAAAATAACAAGCCTAAGAACTCAAAGTCCATGTGTCTTTAAAGATTTTAAGTTTATACCATTCTAACTGAAACACAAAGCTGCTTATCTTTGAGAGCAACAGGGTTCATAGTCATATTTTAAAACAGAAATGAATTTTTTTATTTTTATTTTTATTGAACATTTTTTTTATTGAACAATTTAAAGGGAGAAAAAAATGACCAAAAGTTTAAATTCTTCAAATAGCCTCACCTACATTTGCTTCTATTAATGTTAATGCTAGAACAAGTCACATAATGTTTCAGTTATTTGCTTCTTGTCAGAAGTTGGGTACTTCTTAAATTCTCAGTTTGAGCACTGCAATCACCTATTTTTAATATACCTAAAAAAATTGCATTAATATAAGATCAATACTTTTCATTTTACTGAGCAAAAACACAAAAGAAAACAAAACACAGTGTTCATCTCAATTTCAGGCTATCCAAAAGAACTAAGACACTGCAGAACCACCAACAATTCTTTCCCTGAATGAGATTACCATGAAATATTTCACAAGAATTCAAAGTACACCACAAATCTGCCTGGCATTACTAATGTCTGTGTGGATATCTAATTCTAAGACATAAATAGTCTGCTAAAAATATTGTGACATTTTACTTTTTTTGTATGATTGCCTAGGCAATCCACACATCTGTTATATTAAAATGCAGGAATGAATAAATCAGGAATGAATAATATGCCTCAAATATATCCTGTATTTTCACTATAGGAGTCAGATGAGTGAGAAAGTCAAAATTAGATTCTATTTGACATTTGATAGCTGCAAAAAGTTTGGTGTAGGGTTTCTGGACTTGGCGACCATTGCAATGTCATTTTCTATGTCAAGAGTGTATATTGGTATTAAAATCAAATTTATATTTCATATGTGTCCTCTCCTGCATTGTTCTTAATTATATGACCACTATGGTTCCTGCTCAAAAGACAATAATGGTCTTTAAAGAAATATATCCCTTTGAAATGATTTTCTTTCATTAAAATATCTCAAAAATCCAACTTTAAGGTGATGCCAAGATTCAAATACGTTTGTAACAAAACGACAGAAGTGTGTTTCTGAAAGATTACTATTTACTGACAACAAATTGCCTGACTTCTCATACTCTGCACATTTCTTCTCCTTACTAAAATTTCCTGTTTTGAGCCCTAAGTGTCTGCCTGTTACCTGAACCTAAAGCTTTCCTAAAATCTACTTGTCACAGAAGACCTAGCCTCCTTGGAGGGTAACAATAACAAAGAACTATAACTGGATAGGATCTGGAGCTGGTCCCTTCATAATCCGTATGGTCCACCTTTCTTTTAAAATCTCAAATTCTGGATGCTTTTTAAATTACCTAACTTGTTTCTCACCTTGGTTTTCTCCCCTAAGAAAGGACAATTTGAAATAGAGTACCAAAGGCGGAGAATACTGATGTTTTCCACTGATAACAACATAAAACATGAGCGGTAACAATGGAAACCATTAAAAACAATATAAGATGCCTGGGAAGAGGGTCTATAGCATGAAGAAATACTGCTCAAGACAATATTACCTCTTTTTCCTTTTCTTTTTCTAACCACAGTTTTATATGGTACCTTAAAAATCTCATTAAATCTATATTACTTCACCCCAAAGGTCTAGCCTGACCATATTTCAAATTATATGTCATTTAAAGTATGCCAGCTGCTTCTTTTAATAAAAATGTCTTAATGATGATTATTTTCTATAGAAACACTTTGAATTTTAGTGTTAACATTTTTGTAACCCCATTACCCATTATGGTTTGACTGTCATTTACTATCCATATTCTACATATAGAGAAATTAACAGCTGATGACAATTTTCTAAGGCTTATGGAAGAATCTAATCTTGCATGGAAGATTGGCACTGATATTTAATAACGATGGAAGATATAAATGCATTAGCACATAACTGATATGACTTGTGTGAAGGTTTTAATTTTTCCTGCTATCACATTTGTAAGTGGATGTTCAAATAACCATTATGCACAGGTGGCAAGCTGGTTTCCTAATGCTGGTGGGATAAGAAATATAAAAGTATAAAGAAAAAGGGATTAAAAAATAGGTGGGGGAGGGGTTTCCTTCAAATGGATGGAACCCATTCTTTTGAAAGAAAACTCCCCTCTTACCTTGGTCCTGGAGCTGGTTAGTTCTCCTCTGTCCTCCTCCTAGGGGAGAAATACCCAAAGTTAAACAATAATAGAACATGGTCTTGTATTAAAGTCAAGTTCAGTTCTGGCCAACCCCTTCCTCAGGTCTCACAAGACACTACCAACTGCCTGATATAATGGGGCGTTCATTGAATTGAATTTTAAATCCATTTTAAGGATTAAGCCAAAGGGGAAAGAACATTAGCTGTGTAAAGGGGACAAATTGCCTGCGTTTCAGCCAGTCTATTTTGTCAGAGCTCCGATGAGCTGAAGACTGACTTAGAGCAGGGGAATTCATGGAAGGGCATTACCTGGGTAATTTTTATCAACTGGAGTAAACCGTAGTGGGTGTAGCGTGGGGAACACTTAGAGTTTCTTAGAGAAAAGGAGGCATATTGTGGTGTTCTCAGCCCATCTCCCTGATGGTCTTCATGTCTTTTGAGGGTAAAATGATAGTGCTACAAGCAACACAGTGTTTGGAGCAATACTAAATCTAGATATGAAGAAAAATTATTGTAAAAATGAAAAAAATCTAAAGGGTCATTAAATGGGAGGGTTAGGAGTAAATCTGAGAGAGGGATATTATCAGAAACTATGTGCTTCTTTTATTTATTCAACACAGGGAATCACAGGTAGGATAAAGATGAGATTTTTATGTTTTTTCTTAATGTGTCTCTATTTAACTAAAACACCTGGTGTCTTCGGAAAGAAGGCAGCATAGTGAAAGAAGCATGAATTTGGGAATTAGACGATAATGGGCTTCTGCTCCAGCTCTGTCACTTGTCAGCTCTTTAACCTGAGTTTCAGCAGCAGCATCTGTCCAGATGAAGATAGTAACACCAACGTCAAAGAGTTGTGTGTGTGAAACATATTTATATACATGTGCTCTGTATGTAGTAGTTATTAAATTTTGTTTTGTTTTCATTTATATGGACTTTGATATGGTCTTATTTGAACTACTTTGTCTCTTTTGAGACTACTGTTTAATTAGTTGAGCTTAGAGTCAGTTCCTAGTTACCCTTTGGCATAATTTCAGAGATAGTGACTGGCTCCCATAAAAAAAGTAATTAAATACCAGACAATTGATTGAATTCCGTGAGACATGGAGGAAAGTGGAGACCAAGAATGAGCCTGAACCCATACAAGATCATGTGCTATTGTTATTTAACTTTGGGTAACTTATTAAAATTCTTTATCAAGTAAAATGAAATCAGGTGAGAAAATGGATGTATTTTGGAACCTTGGGTTGTCACAATATATTCCAGAGATGTCAAAATGAAGGATGTTGTAATCATTACTCTAATGGCCATTATGAAAATGTGCAGGGAAAAAACACTGTATGGAAGACTCTATGTTATACATCTCTTACTGTTACCATTTGTTTCGTGTTAGATTCACCCTATGAACTTTAATCAGCCTGAAGTCACGTAATATAAATATGGCATAATAAAACTCCAACTACAAACATACATGATTTCCCTCATGTTCTTCCTTGGGAACTTTGACTTCATTCACTATCTTTAATCAGTATTCTAAAAATGACTTTTCTGGCAAACCAGCCTTTTTTATCCACTAAACTCTATAAAATTCCAAAGAATATATACAGAAATACAGTATTTCCTTTTTTTTTTTTCTGGAACAAATACATTCAGGAATTTTGAAGCTGTGCTATAAATGGAAAAAACTGTGTTTTGTGAAACGCCTACTTTATCCATGGAAATCACTTAGGTGACAGAGTTTTGAAGGAAAAAGCTTTTTATTCTGAAATGATCTGAGAATCTAAGAATAAGTGGAACAGCGTACACTGCCTGGATTGGGTAAAATTACAGTGGCTGGGCTGTTCTGGTGCTTCAGAACACAAACTGAGTGTTATTTGTGATGAAGGGAAAAATGGAAAAACAATTAAATGGTCCTGAAGTTGTTGGGGTTATTATGGTGCCCTTAGAAATCACCCTCTCAAGCATGACATATTGAAACACCACAGGATACCACATTGTATGGATAATTTTTATCCTAGCTAGATATAGAAATATATGTTTTATTCTAAAAAATATCCAAGCAAGTCCTTCTACATGAATGTGCTTCACTTTTGCTTTTTTATGCCCCCTTTTATATAATCCAATGAATTTGGTCAGATTTGTTCCCTGTCAAAAGTTTGATGTTGGCATATAATTTTAAATGTCTTTATATATAAGAATACCAGACCCATGTCTGTGTCTAGTTCTGTGATTGTTACAGAGAAATGCTTTCCTTAAATCCTTTTTCCATTTCACAAGGTAGAAAACTGCAATAAAAGCAGCTATTCACTGAATAATTGGGAATTATTTAATTCCCAAACTGCATGAGTTTGGGAATGAATTTTCCCCCATTCTTATTAAGTGTCTGCAACTTAAAACAAGCATAAGAAAACTCTTTTGTTGTGTTGCTAAAGATAGCCCAGCTCATGACTCAGAATCTCAGACTCTCAATGTGGGAAGGGAATTTAGATGTCACTGTCACAGTGTACTCTCTAAAAGATGTGCGAGCCCCTTCTACTTGAACAATTCTCTGATTGTTGGGGATCATAGCCAATCTCCCCCCATTTTTTGGACCAGTTTTAATTGTTGTAAAATCTTTCCTTGTGCTGACCTGAACTCTACCTCTGTGTAATTTCTTCAACTTAACAAGAGTTTTTTAGTTTTAATATAAATTAAACGTTGTAGTTTCTTGAACTCTATATGGGTAGTTTCAATATGCCTGGAAATTATCAATGTTGCCCAAACTACAGCATGGAAGAATCACAGGAACTGTTTAGTAAGTTTTCAAAGTAAACTGCATCTATATTTAGTTCTTTTTTTTGTTCTTTTCCTGTAAGAGCACTGGAGAAAGTGAGAAGATCTCAGTTCTAATCTCAGCTGTTGGACTGTGGGCAAGTCACTTAACGTTTCTAATTTATAATGCCTTCCTTTATAACAAAATGACATTAAAAGAGTGTTAAAAGGAGCAAGTAAAAAGATATATGTGGAAGTGGTTTGAAAGCTATAATGCTATATACCATTACTGTTATTGTTTCACTTAAGAAATATATTGTTTAGTAATTTTTAGAGTTCTGTATTAAGCTAAATTTAAACATCATCTCATTAAAGTGAACAAATTAAAAAGACCACTAGTTAAATAATATATTAACTGATTCTTTCCCTTATACAATATTAACATTGCTATCATTTAATGGAAAGCAAATTTTTTTTTTTTTTAGTGTATACCCTCTCTATTTTGGTCTGGCAGACAATCCAAGTTCAGCTTTTCTTGGATGCTATTTACTTCTACTGACCTCCGAGTAGTCTCAAATACAAGCCCAAGATTAGGGTACTGACTTAGGGCTCTTGATACTTACTTACATTTTAAGTTTTCTATTTATCATACTTTTTTTTTTCATGCTAAAATCACTAGCAATGTAGAACAGCTGTACTTGCTGGTAATGCTTTTATGATTTTTTTTTGTGGTCCTAGTTGAAAATGCCTGAAAAGAGGAGAGGCTAGGAACTGGGGATCCAACGATGTCTTCTCTTAGTTACCGGTAGGATTTCTGGCCCTTTACTATTTCAAAAAGGATGTTCAGAAGCTGCATATCTGTCAGCCCCGAATCCGAAATAACTGGGATTCTATGGCTTGCGGCCAGGACTGGGTATTTTTGAGCGTCAAATGGTGGTTTTCTATTCAGGTGTTGCCAGGTGTGTATGCTACTGTGTTTGTGCAAAGTTATCTCAATTTGCATCATTTCATTGTGAAAACAAGAGTTATAGGATGGGCGGGAGGCTGGGGGGAGATAAACGTTAAAATAAAAGAGCTATAGTTCCTTTTTCCCAGTTAAATTAAAAGAGAATATAATTCTAAATCAGGGTCTTTATTATTTTTTAGCTCATTCCAAATGACTGCCAAATTATTTTATCATCATTTACTTAAATGTGAATCATAAACCAGCCCCATCTTGGCTGATATTATCTTTAGAGACAAAAGGAAGGTAATGATGTCTAAAGTTGTAGATGAGTTATTTTCCACATGCTATGCTGAAAAAAATGGATACATTTTAATTTTTGTGGAAAACCATTATTATGATATACTAAGTAGATGTTTATCATTAGTGTAAAGCTGCATTAAAGCAGCATTGCTTAGAATTCTACATGTAGGAGTATATTACATCTCCACAAAAAAAGTGAGCTTCATACTACTTTATTATAGGTATTTTGGAGTTTTATGGTAAATTCAATTACCACACTTCCTCTAAAGTCCTCTATGTGTGTATTTGTCTAAAATATTCTTTACATGCCTAATTATTCCAAGTTTAAAGAGCTCTCTCTTCTGTCTCTTTTGCAGTCTCTCTCCACCCTACCTCCATACTCTCAGCTAAGAGGGCCCTGGGACAATAGGGGGAGGAATCTAACTCTGCATGATTATAATGTTTCTTTTCTTGCTCCTGCTGAACTGTTCAGGGTATTAAAAGCTATGTAAGAGTTATAATCTCCCTGAGAACTTTAATTGCACTAGCCTTTGCAGAGGCTTCCCAGGTTGTAATTTTCCTGGTGTCCCTTCATTTAGGAAGGTAAGTCAGGAGAATAGCTTCCTATACAAATGATATACAAAAAGCAAAACCAATAACAACTCTCCCCCTCCACCCCCCAATCACTTGACCTTGCTGCTGTTCTGAGGATAAATTAACAGCTACTCCTAAGCTAAATACAGGCAACTTTATAGTTGTAAAGTTCAAAGACATGTACTATCTATAGTAGTCAGGGTCCTAGAGCCTGAAATCCTATAAGAAAATTAATCTGACACATTTTCTTTATTAATGGAGTATTGACAGGTCCAAAGAGCAGCTTTGTAACTATGGTCAAAAGGTACATTATGCACAGAAAAAAGCAAAACATCCTCTTTTTGGGAGAGTTTAAATATTGGTCCAGAAAATGCTGAGTATGAGGAAATGGAGGCAAATTCAGTAGAAAAGGTGTGGCACTGAAGTTTGAAACATTTGAATCTACTTAG